ATTTATGGTGTCAGATCCAATTTTGGGAAGAAATGAAATAAATTGTTGCTTCTATATTAATTACCGTGTTATAATAATATACAGATCATAAACAGTTTTATTCTACTGTATTTACTCAATCCTTACAATGATATGATGGTCTTCAAAGAATAAATGCTGAGTATTCTACTCTTCTAATCTGCAGTCCTTGAAAATCTAGAGTAGAATAACCATAGGATGCTGTCTAAGAACCAGCCTGAAAAAAGTCTCTTGAGTAGTGAATGTTTCTGTTGCCTGTTTCTAAGGCCCAGTGAGATAACTAACATTCAGCCTCTCCCAACTGTAAGGCAGAAACTTATGCAGTCTTGTGATAATGGGCTTCTTATCTCTACCTTGATGGCAGGCTTCAGCCTGTGCCTGCCCTGGTTTCTGAAGCTCATCCATCACAACATTTGTAACCTGCTTCTGTCTTTCAATTAGTGAAAGGCACTTACTACAATGTATGAAGAGTCTGCTTACTTCCCATCAGCTTCTACCTGCATTTCATACCTGGAATGCAATTTATTTCATGAGCTATTTACTTGCTTTCTAGTGGTGGAAGACAGAAGACTGCCCTGAAACTCCATCTCTGGAGTTCTTGGAGTCAAACCAACCTGAAGGGATCCAACATGTCAAGCAGGAGCATGAGGAAGCCTATTGGGACCTTGACTTTCTCCTAAAAAATTTTTCTACCTCAGGGCAAAATGCCGGTCTTTCTCGAGTTGACCAAGAGGACCAGACCTCAGTGTCTGCTGTCTGTCAGACAGTGTCAGTTGAGGAGGAAGTCAGCGAAAAGCTCCCAGGAAGCCTCAAGGTTGCAGAAGTTCCTGGTTCCTCAAGCTCGGAAGTCCAGTTCCTGCTAAAAGAGAACTCTGTAAACTGTGCCCCGATCCTACCCAGTTATTCCCAGGATATAATAGAGCCCAATAAGAATCTAGTATTTTCCAACAATCAATTGCCACACTTTGCCCAGGGAGATCCTGTGGCTCTTGCCGCAGCAGGGCAACAGCCCAGGGAGCCCAGACAAAAATCTCTCGGGCAATATTATCATGTAACCTGTGAAGCCTATGTACAGCCAAGTCCTCACTTGCTAGGCAAACATGCTTCTTACAATCAGTTTCCACCAGCTGCAGTGGCTTCCCAGCTGCCACACTGCAGTCTGCTGAATGGTTACCATCCTTTCTCCCATAACCCATATCAAGCCCGAGTTCAAATGTACCAGACAGATTCTGTTCTCCATGCTTTGCCACTCCTTGGTTTCAGGAAACCACCATCACCTACTAGAGAAGCCATAGCCAAGCCTAAGAAAGGACACAAACAATGGTCTCACAAGCGGCCTGCTAGTCACATCTGCAGCCATCCCAGTTGTGGGAAGACATACACCAAGAGCTCCCATCTCAAGGCTCATGTTCGCACACATACAGGTAAGAAAAAAAGATATAGAGGCTGTGTGTAGCTGTGTGTTGGCTCTTGGGGCATTTTATCCTCTGCTCTGGGATCTTAGCAATTGTTCGCCTGTTGAGTCTACCTTCTGCTGTGTCTGCTGAATATCTAAAGTTTGGATGTTGCACTATGTGGTTGGCCCCCTTGCCCTGTGGTGGGGTGGGAGGAAGTGGGAGATCAATTTGGGGCTGCTTATTTCCTCAAAATTCTGTATGAATGTTAACTGTATAACTTAAAATAATGACCCTCTTTGGATCCAATGATAGCACAAGGACATAGTGGTACTATCTGTTTTACAGGAGAGAAGCCATATCACTGCACTTGGGAAGGATGTGGTTGGAAATTTGCCCGTTCAGATGAGCTGACTCGCCATTATCGTAAACACACAGGACAGCGTCCATTCAAGTGTCACCTCTGTGAACGTGCTTTCTCACGTTCAGATCATCTTTCTCTACATTTGAAGAGACACGTGTGACAAATAAACATTTTGGATTGCAATAGATATTCTAACTCACAAGGAAACCTACAGTGGGATAGTGATTGTGGGGTGAGTGGGGTATCTCTGCATGTTTCCATTTCCTACAAAGAAGGCACACCTGCCCTTGTCCCTGGGGGTATTAGCCAAGAGAATGTAATGGAGACTAGTTACCTGGTTGGACTCCCAGACTGAAGGGTTTTAGCTGTGTTATTCTATCACTACTAAAAAAAACATGATACCCATATTTTGAAACCTAAATTGGGCACTTCCGTGTCTTTTTCTTCTCTTCCTACTAAATAGCATTCAAGTTATTTCTAAGACCACAAAGCTATTGTCATCTAGGATATAGAAGAACCTTTTATATTTCATTGTCCTTGCAGTAAGAAGAGATCACTTTTTCCATAGCCTAAAACATTCCTGTAGGTATGATTTACTTTGGTTTAACGCCAGAGATATGAGAAAGGGATCTGAGGCAGCAGTGAAGCCAAAGCAATTGGTCTAGGGCATTCTTGGATATATTTTCTGAATACATGAAATTGGAATAAGGGCTAGAGTCTATAGCTATCAGTATTAAAATGAAGGCATTGAAGTTTCCCTCACTGGCAGATCCTGGAAATGAGATTTATCTTGATCTTCTATTAGGATCAAATGTTGAAGGAGCTGATGGAGTAGTCCTTTCTCCTGGGCTAAAAAGTAAGAGTACAAAGGAGTTCCTTTATTGTATCTGGCATAGTTTTATTGGTGAAAAATGGACACATCTGCATGTATCAAATTATTCCTTTTTTATTATGCTTTTGTATCTTTCGAACTGAACAACCATGATGTGAAGGAGAACACAACTTTCCTTTTTTAACAGTTGTGTGCTGAAGAGTGTAATTTTTTTATGCAAATTAGACCTGCTGAAAGGTTTACATCTTGCAACTATTAAAAGGCCACCATCCAATGTCAAATGGTTTGGTTCTATTACTTTAATTGTGGGTTCACAATGCTAAGTCAAAATATAAATTGCATATTTCTGGCATAATGTTATGCGACCCAGTAGATATGATTTCCATGGTGATGGCTTAGTATATTATGTATAGTTTATTCAATAAACCATGCATAATAAACGGTTGCCTGTTGTGTTACGTGAATCCAGCAATGTATAATTGCTCTTCCTGTTCAGCTGATACAGTATGAGAAGCAAGAGACATTTGGGAAAGTGCTATGCAAAAGGTCTCAGCTGTTATCTGAATGCTTAGATGTAGCTCCAAGATAACTGACAATCATCTGTAAACCTGGAATTTTGAGAAGAAACAAAAATTACTGGCTGTTCTGAGCTGCCACAGGTCTACAGCAGCAAGGTCTTATTCTTTGTATCAAAGAAAAGTTGCAGCCTTTTTTTTTTTGGTTTTTTTTTGAGGAAATAGGTTTTCCTATGATTTTGAAGAGGCTGCAGCTGAGCCAATACTTCAGCGTTTCCTCAACAATAGAATAATCACCAAAAGATTATTTTTGGGCACCTCCAAATACTGGCTGGTCTTGCCTTTCTTACCCTCCTCAGTGGTTATGAACATTAATATTCTCGCTCCTGGAAGGACCCAAGAAAAGATACCCCTGGTCAGTGAGATAGGAGAACAGACATTTTAGCAAGTCTGCCACTTCTTTTCTCTCTGGATTTGTTTTTGCAATGGGAGAATGCAGGCTACCATGAGGGGGCTCAACCAATCTGTATCTTCCCCCTTAAAGAGAGATCTGATAGTGTTAACACACATGGGCCCCGGGTTTTGGGATGGGGTGGGGATAAATTCCTGGAGTCCCTTGGCATGTCATTGGGGCTCACTTCAATATGAAATTGCTTATCCTACGGTTCAGGAAGAAATGCCACAAAGTTGTTGCTATAGTTCCCAGATGTCCCTCCAAGATAATAGGTGAAAAAGCCTAAGAGATTTTGCCTGCCTTAGAGTGCTGGGCTAAAAGGGGAAAGTTCACTGAGGCAATAAAAAATATCTAAAACTGTCACTCATGGTCTGCTGGATGTGAGACGGAGGCAATTTTCCAGGGAGCCAATGAAAAAGCTATTGCCAGGACAATCCCAGGTTCTAGGATTAGGGCATGTGAGGAACTAGCCCTATGTTTGAGATGCATTTGGAAGGTAGAATGGTAATGGTTGGCAGTTGGTTGCCGAGCAACATGTTCCTGTGTGATGGCAACTGGCTTAGGGAGCGACTCTTAGAAGGTCTATTTGATTGGCTTGGTGGTCACTAACTGATGTCCTGATGAATCTGTCCCTGAGTGGCAGGTATCAGGTAAAGGCCTCAGTTTCACACATGCACACACAAACATTCAAATTGGCCATACAAAAATATGACATATCAAGCCAATTCTTCCAAACATTATGTTTATAACATGTTTTTATGTATGCATTGGATCACATACACAGTAATTTTGGGGTGTCATCTGATGTAGTGGTTCAATATTTCTAAATGCGTGAATAGCTTGATATTTTCTTTTTCAGGGTCTCCAGTCCATGCTTGCAAATGTATTAATTTTCTTTAAGAAAGAAATTGCCCAACTAAGGAATTGTGGACATGAATATGGCGCTGAGTCAAAGCAGCAAACTCAAGCAAAGAAGTCCTGGGTGTGTTTTAACAACTTTTCTTTGCAGCCTGATTATGAAAAAGAGCTACTGTAATTGTGAAATGGGATCTGTCAGGCCATGGGAAATATGTTACAGAAAACAGACATCTTTAGCATACTGAATAGGAGGTAGTGAAGGTAAAACTAGATACAATATTTACACTTGTCTCTTACAGGAATAGCAATACCATCACCAGTAGTGGAACCATTTGGGGCTTTTCATGGAGATAGAAGGGCCTAGACCCAGTTTTGTTTAATGGATACCATTCTAGACTGGGATTAGAGAGATCCAGGTTCAGGTTTGGGTTCTCATTCAACCATGGAGTTGGCTGATCAAATGAGCCAACAGTACTTTCAACTCAATTTACTCAGGACAAAATGGGAGATGTCCCATGTATACTGCCTTCAGCTCCTGGACAAATAGCAATACAACAATCTCTTTGTTTCCACTTAGTCCCTATTTAGCCAAAGAAGCTTTTCTCCCACTACACATCATGTTAAAAATATGGGAAGGGAGACTTGATTCACATTATATAATCAGCTGTTTCCCTGAATGAGCAGACAGGATGTATTTAACAATTTATAGACATATAAATGCTTAGATAAACACAGAACCTTGAATTTTTAGCCAACAGAAAAGATTGGCGATAATTTTAAATGAGTATAAGAAGGAACATTCTCATAGTGTATAAGAAAAGAAGAAACAAATCCAGCTTTTAGGAAGGACTCTGGATATAAAAAGTACATACCTCTGTTGAAATGCAAGGTTTCAGATGTAAAAATCAAACCAAGATAAATCTTCAGAATTTTTTCCCTCTTTTAACATACACTATAAGTTGCACAATTCAATTAAAATAGGGGGGAAATCTTACAATAACGTGGTTGCACAAGTGCGCACACCCTCTTATAAATAGGAATGTGAATCACATTCAAACTGATGTTAAATAGTAGTCAGTATACACCTGCCATCAATTAAAGTGACTGATCAAGCCCTTTACAGTTACTCAGTTGCCTCTTACAGCAAAAGCCACGATCTGCTATGTTTACAAAGCATTAAAGGGATCTCATTGCTGGAATGCATTAGTCAGGAGAAGGGTACAAAAAATGTCCAAGGCATTTAGGGGGGTGGAAATAAAAATAAAAAACTTACAATAATGCAAACTTTAAATAATACTTTGTTGAAACACCTTTTGATTTTATGACAGTATCCAGTCTTTTGGAGTAGGAGCCTATCAGCCTGGCACATCTTGCCTTGGGAATCTTTGCCCCTCTTCCTTGCAAAAGTGCTCCAAATCTGTCTGATTGTGAGGTCATCTGTGCACAGCCCTCTTCAGGTCATCCCACAGATGTTCAATTGGATTCAGGTCTAAGCTTTAGCTGGGCCATTCCAAAACTTTGATCTTCTTCTGGTGAAGCGATGCTTTTATTGATTTGGAGGCATGCTTTCATATTGAAAGGTGAAATTCTTCATCTTCAGCATTTTAATAGAGGCCTGAAAGTTTTGTGCCAAAATTGATATTTGGAACTGTTCATAATTCCCTCCACCTTGACTAAAGCCCCAGTTCCAGCTGAAGAAAAGCCCCAAAGCATAATGGTGCCACCATGCTTCACTGTGAGTATGGTGTACTTTTGGTGATGCATGCTGTTGCACCAAACATACTTTTTGAGATTATGGCCAAAAAATTCAACCTTGCTCTCCTCAGACTATAACACATTTTCCCACATGCTTTTGTCAGACTTGATGTAGATTTTACAAAATGGAGCCAGGTTTTGATGTTTTTCTTTATAAGAAAAGATTTCCATCTTGTCACCCTATCTACCCCATAGCCCAGACATATGAAGAATATGGGAGACTGTTGTCCTGTGTAGTACATAACTAGTACTTGCCAGACATTCCTACAGCTCCTTTAATATTGCTGGAGGCCTCTTGGCAGCAATTCTTATTTTCTTCTTGTTTTTTCATCAATTTTGGAGGAACATCTAGTTCTTGCTTTTCACACTTATCAGTTGGACAGGAAGTATCACTTCTGCAACCTCTCGGATTTACCAGAATGCCTCAAATTCACTCCTCATCAATTTTCTCCCCTACAAACTCAGGAACTTTGAAGATGAGAATGCTTGGCTACAGGAATGGATCCATGAAGAACTTGCTCACGGTGAAGTCTGGCAAAAGGAATATGAAGCACTGTTAAGACATCAGTCCCAGCTCTGTGCCTTGCTGCAGACTAAGAGGTGAGAGGCTGTCATGGGGATTCTTCCCAATTTTTCCTGACAGTTGCTGGTCCCTCAAAAAGCTGGAGAGAAAATGGGGTCCCATGAAAATTATTTATTCAGAATTCAGCCTCCCATTTTTCTGTTTAGTCAAAAACCAGGAATACATTGAAATTTGTTCAATGTAGAGAAAAGTAAGGTTTTACACTTAGGAAAGAAAAATCAATTGTACAGGTATAGGTACAA